TTCAACAGTGATCCAGCATGTCAGTTTAATCAGAGAGAACATTTCAACAGTGATCCACCATGTTAGTTTTATCAGAGAGGAATCATTTCAACAGTGATCCACCATGTCAGTTTAATCAGAGAGGTATGATTTCAACAGTGATCCAGCGTGTCAGTTTAATCAGAGGAAACATTTCAACAGTGATCCACCATGTCAGTTTAATCAGAAAGGGAAAGTGAAATTTTTGGATGATATTTTATTTGATTGCATTCCATACACAGGTGTTTTTTTCTGAAATATTCTTTTTTTTCATACATTGAATAATTGAAATTTTACAATTTGTAATACTTTTGATGTATAAATGTTGAAAAATTATCAGTATTTATAAAGTAAATGTTTGTTCACTAATTATTGAAGTAGATTTATGACAAAGACAATTTTATGCCTCAGCAAAAACTGTCGGACTTCTTGTTTCCAATGTCCATTCTGTCCAAATCAATATAACCAGTGTAAGCAAGGTCATTTGTTGGTCTTTTGGTCAAACTTGATGCAAAAGTTGTCTCTAAAAATAACTGTGTGTTCCAAGGTCAGGGTCAATTACTTTTTATAGAAAATCCAGCATAAAGCAAAATTCATGTTTGAAAATACTTAAATCAATTCAATCAAATCAATGCAAATCAGTTCAATGACACTACTAACTTATTTTCCATTGTTAATTTGAACAAACTTGATGCTGAAGTTAAAATTTGATGAAATCACCAGGTAACCTCGTATCTTCATAACTAAACCAAGAGCAATATGAGTATGGCCATGCTTCACTGGACAGAAATAAAGTATCAAAATGAATAATAGTATGAGTAACTATAAAAGTGCCCAGAGAGAGGGGATCTACATGGTAGGTTAGAGACCAGTTTTTGTGTCATCTAACTGCCAAAGACCACATATAGGTATTGCTATGTTGGCGGCAGCCGCACAGATTTTTTCACAGTAACTTAAAGAGCCAGGCCCACGCCATTATAGATATTTTTTTATATTTTATTGACTGGAAATGTTGTTGTATACTAATAGATAATATATAAATAAAGAGTTGTATAAAGTTTCAAACTTGAAATTGAAAGGGTACCGGAGATATCGGTGCCAGAATAAGTCTCATTAATCAACACCAGGATATGAATATTGATGAGGAAAAGTCACGCGATACGTTCAGACGTGGTCAGAACCAAAACAAAAATGGAGGAGGAGGCGAGTAGTACGTCCATGTGACATCGCTTGTAAAGAGATTTTACAGATAAATGCAATCTATAGCTGTCAGGTCATCATACGTCACGAAAAGCAACAAGCATATTTTAATCACATGCACAAAATAACCTAGATATTTTAAAATAACATGAATATTCAAGCTTTAATTGTCCCGTATTTTTATATTTGTAGATTGAGTTCTTACCTGTCAAGCAAAATACCCGCTATTTCATGATTTGTTTTTAAATTCAGTTCGGTCTTCTCAGCATTCCATCTTTTCGTATGCTCGCCAATATAAATCTTTGCCGTTGATATATCACGATCTCGTGCCATTTTCCTTCTTTTCGCCTCAGAGTCTGTCCCTGACACGTTTTCTTCCCCCTCTTCCCTCACACGTTTTCTGCCATGTTGGAAGATGGCAAATTTATTTTCAGTTCTTTGCACATGTGTGGATGTTCTCGCATAAGTATGAATTAGCACCAGGTCATTTCAAATTCTTTTTTAAAACTATTTATTACGTAAGATTGGTAGCAATTTACTTTAAAATTGAAGTATTACAGGGTTAGTGAGAACTTTTGCTACCTGAGAAAAATAGAAAAAACATGAATTTTTTTTTTATATATAAAATAATATCGGTCGAGGAGTGGGTCTGGCTCTTTAAAAAAAGTTACTTTAGCCAATCAACCTCAAACTTCATACAGTGCTTCCTTACCAATAGTGCTTGCTTTTAAGATCTGAAGGTCAAAGGTCAAGGTCACTGTTACTATAAATAGAAAATTTGGTGTTTATTTTGCAACAACTTCAGTGCCTTTTGTTCAATCAGCCTCCAACTTCATATATTGCTTCCTTACATAAAGTGCTAGTTTGGGATTGCTTTTCAGGTCCGAAGGTCAAAGGTCAAGGTCACCATTACCATAAATAGGAATGTTAATGATGACACTGTTTAAAAGACTCAAGAGTCTAAGTACAGTCTGTAAATTAGGACTTGGGTTAACAAGTAGTCATCAGGTGAGTCTGCAGAGAGTAACAAAAACTGAATACAGTAACACTCACCTGTAAATTCATATCCTTGGTTTATGAATACAGTAACATTCACCTGTAAATTCATATCCTTGGTTTATGAATACAGTAACATTCACCGGTAAATTCATATCCTTGGTTTATGAATACAGTAACATTCACCGGTAAATTCATATCCTTGGTTTATGAATATTTGCTGAAATAATAGTAGGCTTGCCAACAGTTTGGTGCAAAGTTTGCATTTTGTTTTAATTTGCACTATTCTTATCTTAATTTTATGCATGTTCTGCTTTTGTTTTTACAAATAATCCCCAGAGGAAATCAAATCCTCAATGGGTGTTTTAACATAATATTATATGTAGTTTTAATACAGTGTGTGGTCAATATACAGTTATCTATGGGAATCTCAATTTCATCCACTTTAGCAGAACTTAGGCTATTTCCATAATCTTTACTGTATGTCACAGAAGATAACACAATGTACTACAAATGACATTTACTTCCTTGCTTTTACATCTATTTCAGCATGTATAGCAAATGCTCATCTTCACATTACAAATATTGATACACTGTACATGAAAATTATTGCATAGTAACATTTTCATGTCTTTAACTATCTTTAAAAAATCAGGATTACAATAAAAACAATATGTTATATTAATAAGCAAAATCTATCCTGGGAATTCTGTTCCCTTTGACACTATACTTTCTAATCTGCAAGCTTATTCATAATATCACAAACAAATGGACAAATTATAAAAATGGAATAAATACAATGAATATCTATGGCTATTGTTCCATAAAACCCATCTCCATAAACTTTGTTAGGCAGGAAAAACATCCACTTCTATGGAATTCTTGTTGTAACCACAATAAGTTTGCAAAATCAAAATGAAATGCTGGTAACAATCATTGTCAATTATAACAATTAAAGTCTCATTGGACCTGTATTCCTCTGCTGTTCAATTAAAGTAGAGGTGTTGCAGGAGAAATAACAACTAGGATTTCTTGAATTTATTGAAAACAGACCATTTAAAACTTTTGAAACATTTGGCCTTTTTCGACTGAATTCAACTTAATTTTGGAATGCTGTTATCAATGAACAACCTTCTGAGTTTTGTTTACTGTGAAGGAATATTTGAATTGTAATGTTATTTTAGTGTTTTTTGCCTCATTATTATTGGCTTAAGGAAAAATTACTATTTGCAACTTCTGTATTTGGATTGTGTTGTAATTAGTACAGCAGCGAAAATTTATTAATGCCCTTATTTGTCCAAAAGTAATGTCGTGCTAAAATTTGATTGCACCAAAGCAAGTTAATTTCAAGTATTCAGAAGTCTATCCAAGATTTTCACATGCATATCACCCCTGTGACCTTGAAAGAACGTTTTGATATTTGAAGAATGTAACCGATGTAACAGTTGTTCATTTAAATATAGATATTGGGTTATTTAGAGCAAACTGTTTAACCGACATCACCCCAGTGATCTTGCAAGTGGATCGTGGTCATTTGTTTTAACTACATCTGTTGTCCGTGATGTAATTTTGCAATGTCATTTTTGAACAATGCAGCAGTGCAAGAAATTGTCAGAGAAAAGAGTCCTTTGTAAATGTCAACAATATTGAGGCAAAACTTTGAGACACAGGAAATAACTAAACCTGACAAAGATTACACACATCTAAAATATATAAAGATTATTACCATTAAATTTCATTGAAATCTATTCAGCACTGGAACATCATCAGATTCTAAAAGGAACCAAAATTTCCGAAAAGGGGAGATAATTCAACCCAGTAAAGATTACACACAATTACATTGTATATGGATTATTGCAAGCCAGTTTCCTGAAATCCAATCATTAGTATGACAGAAGCCAGTACATCATTACATTCCCAAAGGTACATAACTTTTCGAAAAGGGAGGTAACTCAACATGATATTGATTACAAACACTTAATATGTATATTTAGCAAGCAAGTATCGTTGAACTTAATAACAAACTTAGGTCCGAGTCCATGATGTACTGCCATCAAATCAGGCCATTACGCTTCATTGTGCCTTGATTATCAGAAGTACCCACAGTTAAGGATAGGTCATTAAATATCATAATGGCTTTTACAAGTCATGGTCAGGAGGCAGAGCACATAACCTTTCTTTTTCAAGGGTAATTTTGTCTGGCAAACCTTGGTGAATCAAAGTACATGTACAAAGCTATTGAAACAATAAAAAAAGAGCAAATAATTTCTTTTTGTGGATGGAATACTGACATTTTATTTCTAAGAAGCTGAAGAATAACCATTATTTTTATTCGAGGCATGAGGTTTAATGTCTTTCAACAGCCATTGTCAAATGTGGACAGGTGTCATGATGGTCACTAAAAACTGAAAATGAAAACAAAGAATGAGCAGACGGACAGAAAGAAAAAAATTCAAAGTGTTGTATTGTGGGTAGCAGATCTATTTTTGTCCCCTTGAAGAAGATAACCACCAAAAAAACCCCTTTTCTCCAGGGAACCTCTATTAGTTGACCCCTGCAATCATGCAATGGAATGCAGCAGACCATATTCTTGGGCTCTCTGATGTCCCCAAAATACAAGATGTCAGAGAAACTGCCGAAGACTGCAGGGGATTATAAGTATTGGAAGCTTAATATTATACCTATAGGTGATATATGATGACTTTGAGGTGGCAAGTACTATTAAGTACTTCCTAGCTGGCTTACTGATAAAAGGTGTCCAATCACAAACAACAGAACCCAATGTATCATTCTCATCCAACATTTAATGTCTGTTTATATACTAATGGAACAAACAAATGAATTAAAACAAAATTTGCTAAAACATTTCATTCATGAAGTTAATTTTAAATACATAATACCTTTATGAAAAGTAAACCCCCACCATGAACACTGACAGAAAACAAAACATGGTACTTCTCTATAAGGATGCATTGAAGTGGTCTGTTATGATTGTCATTACAAATCAATGATCTGATTACCAGAATGACTTAAAGAAATTACAGACTTGTTTGGCATGTTCTTGACACCAGAATCTTCATCCCAGCCTAAGTTACTCTAGATACATATCAGTAAAAAGATATACTTTAGCACTGTAAGATAATTCAGTTTGCAAAAATGGGGATGACCTCTCAACACAAGAACTTGAAGCCATTTAACTTTAAGGAACACCTGTGTTTCCTGAGACCAGTAATGTAACAGCCTTGAAATTAAGCTTCTGTCAAAATCCTGTACACCTGATGAGATCTGTGGCGTATACTTACCATAAAAAAGTAAGGCTGTTTTTTTATAAACAGAATGACCAAAAGTGATCGCTTCCATTTTAAATTTTCCTGCTTTTAATTTTTTTTAAAATATATTTAGTCATGAATTGTAATCAGCAAAGTAGCCTAGAGTTTAAAAAAGTAGAATTAACCTATTGAAGTTTTTTGGAAAAGACATGGATAGTTGAAGTTTTTTGGAAAAGACATGGATAGTTGAAGTTTTTTGGAAAAGACATGGATAGTTGAAGTTTTTTGGAAAAGACATGGATAGTTGAAGTTTTTTGGAAAAGACATGGATAGTTGAAGTTTTTTGGAAAAGACATGGATAGTTGAAGTTTTGGTTTCTGGTTGTTGAAAACCAATGCCTTTAAGGTTAAGACTTATTGTGGAAGGGTGCAGTGGTGATGCACTCGTACTTAAACATCTATAGTTCGATTCCCTGAGTGGATGTGAAAAGGTATGGGGGTCACTTGCCAGTTCCTGAGGCTTTTCCCGGGTACTCTTTTTCCTCCAATAGACCCCTCCTATGCTTTCATCCAAATCAACAAGAGCGATTAATAGCTTGTTTCCCTATTGTTGTAAAATGAATTAAGTTTATATTTATATATCAATGTTATACCTTTGTTACAATATCCCGATGTCAGTGGTAGAATTTACTTTTAAGTTTTTACTTTTTGAACCACAGTACAATGAGTAAACAATCAGAAACTTGCTGGATCATCTACACCAATAACACAGGGATGTTACAGTGTACCCCGATTCTGTAGGCCGTGATGTTACAGTGTACCCCGATTCTGTAGGCCGTGATGTTACAGTGTACCCCGATTCTGTAGGCCGTGATGTTACAGTGTACCCCGATTCTGTAGGCCGTGATGTTAGTGTACCCCGATTCTGTAGGCCGTGAGTTTACAGTGTACCCCGATTCTGTAGGCCGTGATGTTACAGTGTACCCCGATTCTGTAGGCCGTGATGTTAGTGTACCCCGATTCTGTAGGCCGTGAGTTTACAGTGTACCCCGATTCTGTAGGCCGTGATGTTACAGTGTACCACGATTCTGTAGGCCGTGATGTTACAGTGTACCCCGATTCTGTAGGCCGTGATGTTACAGTGTACCCCGATTCTGTAGACTGATGTTACATGTACTAAAGTATCTTTGCAACTTTATAAAATGCTTGATAAGATTGGTCTATCAATTTTGTTACAATAGTAAGGATTACAATAAAACATGTTACATATGGTTGTGTACACATTTGTATGAATATTGTATATTCTCTCTACTAATGAACCCCTGATTATCTTAGTTACCATCATGCCCATCATTTATACTGTGATGTGAAAAGTTCTGTAAGATGTTTGGAGTGATGACATATGGGTCACTAGCACTATTCTATTTACAATATAAACACACACAATTCACCAGGTTTGCCACTACTAACAGTCACATGTGGTATCATCCTTAGTCAAATTATTCAACAACTGTAACTGAACACATTAGGTCTGTAAATAGAATACTTGGATTTAGCGAATACTTTATTTCGAGAACTTACCTCTACAGACATATTCTCAAATACATGATTTCACAAATGCTTATCTGGGAATGACTTTTAATTTGTGAATGATGAACTACTAGACTGTGGAAACATATTGGCTGGTATTTTGCTTATGAGTCATACGACTATATCTGAAAAGTAATTCAGTCATGTGATAAATCAAAGCTGTGTCCATACTGAATTTATTTACCGGACTTCAGACTTCTTCAGACTAATAAATAAGAAACAAAAAAGAGTACTCAATATGCTTTTATGTTTTAAGAATGAAATGAGTTATGTTCAAGATGACGGGACCTCAACTGGCCAGACATTATTGTGATTAATGTTACCCTTCAGTGACTGCTATTTAAAGTAGTCGTCCCAGTGGTGATGTCTTTTTCATGGTTGCCTATATTTCATTTTGTAATTTAATAAAGCTGATATTTTGTATGTTATAAAGTTTAACTCCTATTGCAAATACATGTATTTTAGCACCTTTCCAACACAAGAGATCCCAGAAGGATCTTGGCACCCACCATTGTTTCATCGTTAATTGCTCTTTGAAAGTTGGATCTTTTTCCTTATTTTCTCTTCTCTTCTCTGCTTTTGCTCTTAATGATAAAACATTTCGTTTCTTCTGATCAGTCTCCTTATTATATGGGCACAAGGAGAGACTAAAGGGAACATACTTAAAAAATTTGAGAGATATCCATTCAGTACTTCTTCAGAAATAGCAATAACAATCTTTACTTTGCAAAATCAAAAATGGCTGTCTGTCAGCTATTTTGTTTTTTCTGATCAGTACCAAAATTAGATGGGCACAACAAGGGATCACGGGAAACATACACATGAAATTTGAGAAAGATCTATGCTACGTATTTCTCAAGAAATAGTGAAAACAAACTCTCAAAGTCGAAATCTAAGATGGCCGTCTTTCTGCCATTTTGTTCTTCTGATCAGTCCTAAAATCAAACGAGCACGACTAGGGACTAAAGGGAACCTACATAAGAAATTTGAGAAAGATCTATCCAGCACTTCTCAGGAAAAAGTGATAACAATCTTGCAACGTGAAAATCAAAGATGGCCACCTGTCTGCGATTTTGTTTTCTGATCTGTCCAAAATTAGACGAGCACAACTAAGGACCAAGGGGAACCGACACATGAAATATGAGAAAGATCATTACAGTACTTTCCAAAAAATAGTGATAAAAACTTCATTAACGAAAAATCCAAGATGGCCACCTGTTTTATTTGATCAGTCCCAAAATCAAACAGACATTACTCGGAACCAAGGGGAACCTACATAAGCAATTTGAGAAAGATCCATCCAGTTCTTCTCTAGAAATAGCGATAACAAAACTGTTTACGGACAGGTGGAAGGACGAACCACAGACCACGATGCAGGGTATTTGAATGGCCCACTATCATCGGATTAATTATAGCATCAGGGATTTACAACAACACATGTGACTCACAAGCTTGATTTCTGACTTCTGGCATGTAACTGTATGTTTGAATGGTATCATTTTGTGGCACAGTTTACAATCAGTAATACTGTGGTAGTTGTGTAAGAACTCTGAAAATGAAAATGCTTGAATTTTAAAAGTAACACATCTAGCAGATTTGTTTGGGATAATATCAAATGCTAACAGAAGTAAAAGCAAGTTAACAGCAGAAAAACAAGGATGTCATCAAGAGATTCATACAAATAATCGCTAGAGATTGAAATTAGCATTTGGCTCTCCTCGCCAATGGAGGCAAAAATAAATACTACATGAAAGTGATTTACAGCATACAGAGTTTGGATTACAGAGTCTTCACACTATTTCTATGTGTATGTATCATTCAACAAAACCACTTTAAATAAAAGTTGTCAGAACCCATCAGCAAATCCGGCATGGTTCTTCTTAGGCAGGCATCTTACAATGTCTAATGTTGGTGTAACAACATATTTTTTTGAGGAAATCACAAGATTTTTGCATTAATATATTGGACAGAATATTTTCTGACAAAGGAACTTAATACTGTATTGTATACATCATATTCTCTGAATTTTCCATTTATATATATACACACACATATATATATATTTTTTTTTATAGAAAAAGAGACTGAATTGTCTTCCTTTTATATAACCCAAATTTGTTCAAAGCCATGACACCAGTGTCCCGACTTAAAAAGCTCTAATAGACAATAAAACCTCTCTCTCTCTCATGTATCTCGAGTCCAATCTGTCCTGACTTGCTATGATAAACTAAACACAGGGACTCATTCAAAAGCTTCCACTGTTCACCTGATTTATTCTCTTGACTTACCAGATTTGTCGGCACAGACAAGTGGAGGACCTCAAAAGTTTCCATTGAACTTGCAAGTGATGCCAAACTAACAAATAACAAATTCTCTGTACTGACATGATTTACACCTTACTTTGGAGAAAAACCTTGCAGAGAACATTGAAAACCTTTTGTTAAATGGAATAAGTTCCTGGTTATGTCAATTATTGCTTTTGATTATAATCCTTTCATTAGCCTTTCAAAATGAGGCCTAATTCATTGGCTGGATCAAACTTAATCTTCCTATCATTTCAGGTTGTCCTTTCACAGGTACGGTATATAAACTATCAGAGATCCTCTGCGCCATCATTCGCCTGATTCTGTATGTCATCTCCAGCTTTTAGTATCTGAAAATTAAAAAAAATCAATCAAATATTGTGATATACAATAAATAATAAAATTCAAGAAAGAATCTGTATAGAATTATTTAAAAACTCCAAAAGCCGTACATAATTTCAAATCACTTTGAATATTTTTGAAGTACCCTGCAACGCTCAAAATCCACCAGAATTTTATGTTTTCACCCAAAATGTGACCCATGTTTTTGTCCCTTCTTGAAACACTCCATAACATCTAAATCCATACCAGTTAGTTGCAGTACATGTAGTACTAATTGATGCTGACAGAAAAGTCATGTCTATGTCTGATCCTTTGCCACATTCACATTGAGACTAAGCATTTCGTAAATGAATATTTTGTATGTATTTCAGTGAGTATCTTGACTAATAACTGTAGTGATTTATGCTGGCTGTAATCTGAGGGTCAAAACCATACTGGCTGTCAATTAAAAACTTATGTGATATTGTGGTGTTAAGGAGCTGTTTGCAGTAGTATCTTGTAAACATGCATCTCATTGGTGTATAATGTAATTATCATGTAATTGACAAAAAAAGTGCACAGGTGGCAACACCAATCCTCCTCGATGTATCTCTAGATCATTGTATCAGCGTCGCTGTCATCACATGTAACAGAACTATCCACCAAATTTCTCAGTCTTCTCAAATTTTGTTGACCAACAAGTAATTAAGAGTTTTGAGGTGTTTAATTCCACATTAGGTAATAATAAAAGAACTGATTCTGTAGATGTCTTTCTTGTCGGTCTGATTCAGTAGATGCCTTTCTTGTCAGTCTGATTCAGTAGATGTCTTTCTTGTCAGTCTGATTCAGTAGATGTCTTTCTTGTCAGTCTGATTCTGTAGATGTCTTTCTTGTCAGTCTGATTCAGTAGATGTCTTTCTTGTCAGTCTGATTCTGTAGATGTCTTTCTTGTCAGTCTGATTCTGTAGATGTCTTTCTTGTCGGTCTGATTCTGTAGATGTCTTTCTTGTCGGTCTGATTCTGTAGATGTCTTTCTTGTCGGTCTGATTCTGTAGATGTCTTTCTTGTCAGTCTGATTCTGTAGATGTCTTTCTTGTCAGTCTGATTCTGTAGATGTCTTTCTTGTCTGTCTGATTCTGTAGATGTCTTTCTTGTCAGTCTGATTCAGTAGATGTCTTTCTTGTCAGTCTGATTCAGTACCTTTCTTTCTTGTCAGTCTGATTCTGTAGATGTCTTTCTTGTCAGTCTGATTCTGTAGATTTCTTACTTGTCAGTCTGATTCTGTAGATGTCTTTCTTGTCAGTCTGATTCTGTAGATGTCTTTCTTGTCATTCTGATTCTGTAGATGTCTTTCTTGTCATTCTGATTCTGTAGATGTCTTTCTTGTCAGTCTGATTCTGTAGATGTCTTTCTTGTCAGTCTGATTCTGTAGATGTCTTTCTTGTCAGTCTGATTCTGTAGATGTCTTTCTTGTCGGTCTGATTCTGTAGATGTCTTTCTTGTCATTCTGATTCTGTAGATGTCTTTCTTGTCAGTCTGATTCTGTAGATGTCTTTCTTGTCAGTCTGATTCTGTAGATGTCTTTCTTGTCAGTCTGATTCTGTAGATGTCTTTCTTGTCATTCTGATTCTGTAGATGTCTTTCTTGTCAGTCTGATTCTGTAGATGTCTTTCTTGTCAGTCTGATTCTGTAGATGTCTTTCTTGTCATTCTGATTCTGTAGATGTCTTTCTTGTCAGTCTGATTCTGTAGATGTCTTTCTTGTCATTCTGATTCTGTAGATGTCTTTCTTGTCATTCTGATTCTGTAGATGTCTTTCTTGTCAGTCTGATTCTGTAGATGTCTTTCTTGTCAGTCTGATTCTGTAGATGTCTTTCTTGTCATTCTGATTCTGTAGATGTCTTTCTTGTCAGTCTGATTCTGTAGATGTCTTTCTTGTCAGTCTGATTCTGTAGATGTCTTTCTTGTCAGTCTGATTCTGTAGATGTCTTTCTTGTCAGTCTGATTCTGTAGATGTCTTTCTTGTCATTCTGATTCTGTAGATGTCTTTCTCATTGATGATAAAGATGCCTTAATCTCTATAATATTTGCTGTGAACTCCAAACCTCGACCGATTGTATCCATCCTTGTAGCTGCCTGACTGAGGGGAATATCTAGAATGACTTCTATTGTTACTGTGTCGATGGTCTTCAGAGGAACTTGATCTGAAAAACAAAACTTTTCAAACTGAGTTTTACACTGAGACTCAAAAATGGACATGTTAAGAAAAGTCCACAAACTCCTGAATTATCAGAGTGTATTTTGAATACTTGAAACAAAAAATATTCATAATTTAGGACCGTTATTGACAAATCACCAAAACGATGACTGTCTATGATGATGTATTATGTCCGTTATCACCAAACCTCGACCTCCGGGATCCTGACTTTCTGTCCCTTGGTGACCTTGATCGACCTTTGTACCTCTTTGATCTTGGTGACTCTGATCTACAACAAAAGCAATCCTACAGAAGGTCTGACAGAATCTGAAAGTTAGCCTGTATATCTATTGTGTAACATTACTTAACCTACAGTTTCATAACATTTTGGTATAAATAGACCTCTCTTGGTCTGCTAGGAGTAAAGGCCAGAGAGGAGAGTCTCTACTGGCAGCATGACTGCTCTCTCAGGCTTTTGCCTGAACTGTTTGAATGTAATTTGTAAATATATACATTAATATAAATATATAGATGAAAATTTACAATAAACATTGGACTTAATTGTCATCACTGCACTATAAGTGAACCACATCACAAACCACAGGAATACATATATTTCATCCTACTTATTTATGTGTTCTATTATTAAGCTGACCTGACAATTTGAAATTGCACACAGTCTTCCTCCCATAACTGTTTAGGAAATTGTCTAAATTAATCGACATGCCTTCATATATTCAGGACTTTTGTTTAATATATGCTTCTAAATATTAGTTTTTGCATGGAAGCAACATCAATGTTAGAGTCAAGTAGCACAAAACCTTTGTTCAAATTACAAAAATTAAAACAACAAGTTAGTTTCTTAAAATTATTAGAAATTAATCTATATATATATTTTGATAAGCTCTCTATTTTCAGCTAAACATTTCATTTTATGTGAGATTCTACAGAAACATATTCATTTTATTGACCAAGATGGGTAAATAAAGAAAAGAATCAATAGTGATATTGACCTTTTGACCTCTACCCTTTACCCTTTCCACCAAGTTACCTGGACCTGGACCTATTGCTTCTCTTCCTTCGGTTCCTTGAGGATGACCTTGATCGTGAGGAGGAGGAGGATCTTGAGGAAGATGAGCTTGACCTTGAAGATGAACTAGAAGATGAGTTTGATCGCCTGTCATCCTCTTCATCACTACCATCCAAGTCATATTTGCTCAAATCATCTTCCCCATCTTCTTCCTATCAATGAACAACCATTCTGTTTTTAGACAGAATGTACAAAATTCATAATTTCCTGTGATTCAAATTTTACTTATTTCTTTTTTTTTATATCAACCATACGAAACAGGATGAAATTTCTGAAAAATAGTAGGAACAAGGAATATGTTATTCTTGAACTTAATAATGAGGATTAAGTTTCCTCCTCTGAGTCAATCTTGTCTGTAAACTACCTCCTTTGGGGCTTAATAAACTAATATATGATAAACCTCAGGGTCAATCTGGGCTTTCATTTACCACCACAGAGTCGATCTGGGCTTTCATTTACCACCTCAGAGTCGATCTGGGCTTTCATTTACCACCACAGAGTTGATCTGGGCTTTCATTTACCACCACAGAGTTGATCTGGGCTTTCATTTACCACCACAGAGTTGATCTGGGCTTTCATTTACCACCACAGAGTTGATCTGGGCTTTCATTTACCACCACAGGGTCAATCTGGGCCTTTAATTTACCACCACAGAGTTGATCTGGGCTTTCATTTACCACCACAGAGTTGATCTGGGCTTTCATTTACCACCACAGGGTCAATCTGGGCTTTCATTTACCACCACAGAGTCAATCTGGGCTTTCATTTACCACCACAGAGTCGATCTGGGCTTTCATTTACCACCACAGGGTCAATCTGGGCTTTCATTTACCACCACAGGGTCAATCTGGGCTTTCATTTACCACCACAGAGTTGATCTGGGCTTTCATTTACCACCACAGAGTTGATCTGGGCTTTCATTTACCACCACAGGGTCAATCTGGGCTTTCATTTACCACCACAGAGTCAATCTGGGCTTTCATTTACCACCACAGAGTCGATCTGGGCTTTCATTTACCACCACAGGGTCAATCTGGGCTTTCATTTACCACCACAGGGTCAATCTGGGCTTTCATTTACCACCACAGAGTTGATCTGGGCTTTCATTTACCACCACAGAGTTGATCTGGGCTTTCATTTACCACCACAGAGTCAATCTGGGCTTTCATTTACCACCACAGAGTTGATCTGGGCTTTCATTTACCACCACAGGGTCAATCTGGGCTTTCATTTACCACCACAGAGTCAATCTGGGCTTTCATTTACCACCACAGAGTCGATCTGGGCTTTCATTTACCACCACAGAGTCAATCTGGGCTTTCATTTACCACCACAGAGTCGATCTGGGCTTTCATTTACCACCACAGAGTCGATCTGGGCTTTTATTTACCACCACAGAGTCGATCTGGGCTTTCATTTACCACCACAGAGTCGATCTGGGCTTTCATTTACCACCACAGAGTCGATCTGGGCTTTCATTTACCACCACAGAGTCGATCTGGGCTTTCATTTACCACCACAGAGTTGATCTGGGCTTTCATTTACCACCACAGAGTTGATCTGGGCTTTCATTTACCACCACAGAGTTGATCTGGGTTTCATTTACCACCACAGGGTCAATCTGGGCTTTCATTTACCACCACAGAGTTGATCTGGGCTTTCATTTACCACCACAGAGTCAATCTGGGCTTTAATTTACCACCTCAGAGTCAATCTGGGCCTTTAATTACCTTCTCTTCAACATTCTGATCTTTAAATTACCTCCTCTGAGTCAATCTTGTAGTTTGACAAATCGCCTTCTTCATCCTCCTCCTCTTCCTCCTCATTGGGTTCCATATTTTCACTTGTTGTCACTCCTTCAGAACTTATGCTTTTTCTGAACTTTTTCTTTTTGCGACCAAACTGTGATAAAGATATACAGATATAACAAAAATACCCAGGAGATATACACATTATATAGGTCAATTATTCCCAGTGCCCCACTGTTGGATTGAAAGACAATCTATATGTGTTAATATGACAATTACAGGTATCAACTCAATTCCCACCTAGTACTGATATTTCCATGTAGATTATCAACTATTAATGCATTTGAGTACAGTTTGGCATCATTTTTAAAATTAATAAAATGATTACATTATCAACAACCATTGCTACATCATTTATTATGGATATATATAAATATTAGAATTACTTGTGAAAACTGAAAACAAATGATTAATGCTATACTCTGACAAAAAAAATAAGAAAAATAAGTTCAAACTTCTTCAGCACCAAGGAAGTGCTAGCTAGTACAAAGTTTCTGGTACAAAATAATGGAGTTCTTGAATAATTCTGTTGCCATGCTCTGAAAACCGTGAAAGGAGGAGTGCCAGTTTGGGCCTTCTGGTGGCCATGACGAATACTTTTTATTTTTTGTCTATTAAAAACTTGGGGTCAGGCAATAATGACATGACATTAATCTAAGGTCAGCTCAAGGTCGTTCAGTTGTTATAGGGGGGACGAGTGGGGGATCAAATTCATAATTATTGCAATAATTATCAAACTAAAATATTTTTTTTTCTTTTTTTCTCTTAAATGTCATTTGATGATATATTTCAAAACTTTTATTAGAAAAAATGACCAAAAAATATGCCATTGTTGAAAAGTAGGTCACAGTAATTAAGTGCCCTAATCACTAATTAAGTCACACTTGAGCACTGTTTTTTGTCTTAATGCATCTATAAGCAATACGTTTATCACATGCAGTGTATTTATTTGAAATATTTTTGCATGAATTCGAGCAATGAAGAAGTTACAGTCAGGGTAAGAGAGGCATGCCATTTAAATATATTAGTTACAATTTAAAGTGCAAGAGTACCAGTCACTTTCTTATTCCAGTTAATGAAAATGAATATTGAATTATACTGTATGAAAAATTATTTCAAATAAATTTCACTGTATAATAATTCCCTCTGTGCATTAGTTGTATTCTTGAGCTTTAACATAAGATGGTTTGACACTAGAGCTTTAACATAAAATAGTATGACATCATGACATCACCCTGATGTGTACCTTGTTAACGGTCTTGTTTCAAACACTATCAAACTTCAGTAATCTATAATGCAGTGTATGTAACACATGGTATATCCAGATATATAAGTATACTTTGTTCTGTGTAGTTCGTACATGCATTGACTTACCATATTTATTCCAATAAACGCCCCGTCTCTAATAAACGCCCCCCACCTGTTTTCTCAGTAAATTTCAACAACTCAGGAGTCAGGTTACAAAGCTTACCTTTTAATAAATTTTAAATTCCTGGTATCGATGAACATGAACAAATGAATTTTGGCACAAGAAAATTACACTGTCACGACATGTACACAAGTAACATCAATTTAATCCACGGTTCATTTCAATATACTGCAGGCCTAACGGCCGGGACTGCCGTACGAACTACTGTCTTCTTGCTTTCACTCATTTCTATTTGCGGAATAGAAGGCGCGTTCGCTTCACCCATTAGATTTTGCAAAACGTCATCTGCAGCTTGGACATCCTTTTCACTAAACCCCTGGAATTCCTCATCGTCAGAATCATGCTGGAAAATATGATCCTTGCTACCGTCCAGCGAATTTGTGATATCGCATTTTTTGAACGATCTTCTGATTGTGTCCGGGCTAATGCTATCCCATGTTGTCTTGACCCAAGACAACATTGCAGCTTTAGATGGGGCTTTACGATTCCCTGCTTTGGTTTTCTCAATTGGGCCACTGAAACACCATTCGTCATACAACTCTCCAAGTTTTTGTTTGAAGGGTTTATTCCACGACACATCGGCTGGCTGTAGCTTACATGTACATCCTCCGGGTATAACACAGATGTCTGAATTATATTTTTGACAAACCAGTTTTTTTACATCTTCAGTAAGATGACCACGGAAAGGGTCCCATACTAATAACCACCTAGCTGTATTATTCACACCCCAGGGTATTTTTAACCAAAATTTTATACTTTCCTCGTTTGCCCAGGATTTTTGTCCCACCCCGCACATGTATACATACCACAATACCACTTGGTATGTCATCTTTCGGAAGGGTACGAATGCCTGGCATGTGCACAAGGGGGGCAATTTTAGTCCCATCGGCATATGCTGCAAGTGTCACTGTTATTTTTTGTTTTTCGTGGCCAGTACTGTAAACTCTGACCTCCTTTTCCCCCTTTATTGCCAATGTCGATTTTCCTGGCATGTCAAACCACACCGGGGTTTCGTCCATGTTAGCAATATGGCTATCGGGGTATTCTCGTAGCCGACGCATTTTGAACACGAAATTAAAAAAACTGTCAATACGATCATCAATTAATGAAACTTCATGTTGTGCCACATGTGTAGATCGCCTGAACGAAATGTTATGTCTCTTTTTGAATTTAGAAAACCATCCATATGAGGCTTTGAACGATTGACTACCATTTGCCTTATGCATACGCAAGGCCTCAAACCGCAATGCTTTCCCATGTCACTCGTATTCTGGCCTCCAGTCTGTCCTGTAGCCATCTCATCAGATTTTTGTCAATATCTTCATATCTGACATGCCTTCCACCTCCTTTACAGCGTTTAGATGTTTTAGAAAGATTTTTTAATTTTTCTTTGTTTTGACACCAGTCCCGCACTCGTTTTCTGTCAACACGAAACACTTTCGCGGCGGCTTATTTACCCTTCTCCTCTGCGAAGGCGATTAAGCTTGAAAGCAGTGTCGTAATTTCGTTTTGTCCCAGACATTGTTATCAGGTATATGGGATTTATTAAGAAACAGACTGGCCTACAAGGGGTGATGAACATTGTACGTTTTTAACTGAAGCTGACACGATTGACATCGTGTCATTTCATACAAGAAATCAGGTTATTAGAATGCAATTGACAACAATGTTTAAAGCTACAACGATGTTGGAATTACTGCAATTTTCAAATGCATTCTTTGCTGAGTAATTCGTTAGTTTGTTAAACAATGTTTTTAAGTGGCAGCCATGGCATGTCACGACCAACAAATTATGAAATTTTGTGTTCCATTAATCGCCCTGTCTGAAAAATTTCACGCCCCCAGGGCGTTTATTGGAATAAATACGGTATGCACATATCTTGTGTATCACTGAACCATTAAATATAATTTCCTTCATACAAGTGTGACATATATATAAAATAGCATTATAGTATTTTGTTTAGTTTTTATTAACTATTTTTGTAAAATGCCAGTACACAAGCAGTGTGCTTGCTGCAAAGCAGGTTATAAAGTCAGAATATATTGTCTGAATCAGGCAGATGTTCTGTCTTTCTTGAAAGATAACATCAATAAAGATTTATGTTAAGGTGACCCTGTATGTAAGAAATGCAGAGTGAGATTCTACAAACACCATGAACCATTAGAGCATTCTAACAGTGGTTTAGACCATCAGAATGAGACACCTGACTCTAACAAAATCAAACTTGATATTCCACGAGCTACGCTTACTGAATCGCGATGTTTCGTTTGTGGAAAGTCCAGAGATGAAAAAAGTAAAATGGTGAAACCATGCACGGAAATAAGAGTTAAGATTTTCATTAAGACAGATGTCTTGATTCAAAACACATCTAGGTGCTGTACTTCTCATAGAGTGGACGGTGATATTCATTCCGATGTTCTTCAGTCACTCACTCCTACCAGTGAAGACTCAGAACTGGATTCATCTGAAATATCAGAAATCCTGCTTTCACTGAGATCACTGGCTTCTAGAAAAAGTTGTTTGGACTTTGATTCACCTGATGGATTAACTGATCAAGATTATTATCGACTCACAGGACTTTATAAATCTCAGTTTTCCAAGCTTTTACAGTCAGTTAACACATCTCTGTACTCTTCACTAAACAGAAGTGCAAGGACTGCATTAGCTGTTCTTCTTGAAAAGTTGAAAACGGGCATGTCCGTAGCAATTTTAGCTACTTTGTTCAATATGACAAAGCGAACGTGTGGAAAAAGTATACACTCTGCTCTGTTCCTTCCCACATTGGCCTGCATCACGTTACAAGATAACAAGTTATCCAAAACCATACTACAATATTTGCAAAGACAATGTTTGCCTCAGGTGAGGATGTCGCTTTGGTTGTTGCTGACGGCTTTTATATTTATGTTGAAAAATCCAGTAATTACACATTCCAACGTCGCTCTTTCTCAATGCAAAAGGCACGTCCTCTCTTGAAGCCAATGCTTCTTGTAGCTTCTGATGGTTATATCTTGTCTGTTCTTGGTCCGTATTTAGCAGATGGTCGAAACAATGATGCCAATATCACAAAGCACATGCTCAAAACTATCACTGAGAACATCAATGATTAGTTTCAAGATGATGATGTCCTTGTTGTTGACGGAGGTTTTAGAGATGTGACAGATTTTTTGAGGGATTCTGGTATCAAAACAGAAATGCCATTTTTTCTACCGAAGGGTCAGAAGCAGCATACAGTCAAAGAAGCAAATGAACCCTGTCTTGTTACAATGGTAAGGTGGGTTGTTGAGTCAGCCAATGGACGGATTAAGCAGTGGAAGACGTTGGGACATGTATTGCCAAACACATTAATTCCCGTTGTAGGAGATTTTGTACGAATTGTTTGTGCAATTTGCAATGCCTTTTGCCCTCCACTTGCTTCAAATTCTCCCAATGACATTGTAATTGCCGAGAGAATGATGGCATTGTCCAAAACACCTAACAAACTTCAAACTCTTATTGAGGCAGAAGGGTTAACAAGGAAGTGGTCTATTTGGGTAAAGCTTGATGAGGCCAGTTTGCCTGATTTCCCAAAGTTATCAGAACCAGAGTTGAGAGATCTTACCATGGGGGTATATCAGCTGAAACAGGCAAAATCCTACACCAAAGAGCATTTAGCTGAAGATGGTCAGTATGAACTTATGCTATGCAGGGAGAAACGTGACTTGATCAAAGTTCAGATTCGTTCATGACATGTTGCTTCGAAGGTCTACAATCTTTGGGATTGAATATTCTAATGGACTGACCCCAATATCAGGCTGGTACTGTCAATGTAAGGTTGGTGCCAGAGTAGTCGGCTGCTGTGCCCACATTGCATCTGTCCTATGGTATCTTTCTTATGACTGACACCAGTCTGATACTGCACAAACAACTGCCTCCTCAAGATTCCTTAGTTGTGTTGATGACGCAATGATGGTGGAAAACTGGTCAGATTGTGACAGCGACAGTGACTCCTAAATGAATATCCCAACACCACCATTCCCCTTACTAAAGCAGTAAACAAAAATACAATCCTGTAAGTAATAGACAAAGGTCATTCATTATCTGTGAAACCCGGTGCTAACTTGATTTTTTCCATTTTAATATCATCCATATTTGCAAAAATATTTCAAATAAATACACTACACGTGATAAACGTATTGTTTATAGATGCATTAAGACAAAAAACCCTGCTCAAGTGTGACTTAATTAGTAAATAGGGCAATTAATGTCATGTCATTACCGTCTGACCTCAAGTTTTTAATAGACAAAAAATAAAAAGTATTCGTCATGGCCACCAGAAGGCCCAAACTGGCACTCCTCCTTTGTAATTTTTTCTGTTTTTGATCTGTTTTCATGAAACAAGAATAAATGAAACACTAATAAGAGTGTTAGGACAAAATTACAGATATTCATCTTGAATGATTTTGAAATCTTACTACAGAGACAACAAACTTTGTAGTTTTGCTTGTTTCTATACCCCGATAAAATCATAAACAAATTATAACTCCTCCATAGCAAAAGGTACTACCAGAATGATAGCTTCATAGTTTTAGGCAACTATATGTGATGGTTTTGAAGTCATGCTAAATATAACTGTTATTAATAATTGTAAAAGTGTTTTAATGGACAACTTCTCCATACTAGCTTGATACCTGTACAAAGTTTTATGTAGATATAGAATACTAGCTTGATACCCGTACAAAATTTTATGTAGATATAAAATACTAGCTTGATACCTGTACAAAGTTTTATGTAGATATAGAATACTAGCTTGATACCTGTACAAAGTTTTATGTAGGTATAAAATACTAGCTTGATACCTGTACAAAGTTTTATGTAGATATAAAATACTAGCTTGATACCTGTACAAAGTTTTATGTAGATATAAAATACTAGCTTGATACCTGTACAAAGTTTTATGTAGGTATAAAATACTAGCTTGATACCTGTACAAAGTTTTATGTAGATATAAAATACTAGCTTGATACCCATAAGTAGATATCTTGACAGACAGATGGATGGAGCCAATGAATATCCTCATGGGGGATAAAAAGGGAAGGCCACACTACCATATCTTAGTTGATTTATGGGTGTTAGTCCCATAGGTCTATAACAACACTCTGTGTTTTACAGGTATCTGAATTTTATACTAGAATACTTATTCTTCAGAAAGGCTGTGATGTAGTGGAACAGCTACATTCAGAATCGTTTTATTGTTTAACTTGAGAAAGCTTTTGTCAGTTGATTTCTTATTGAATTTGGAATGAATCTGCTTCCTAATGTTCCATTAATATTATTAACCAAATTAAGCAGGTAGTGGACAAAGACAGTTAACTGAGGTTTATAACAAATCACTGACGAAATTTTTAACAGTTAACCTGATCATCATTCAGATAATAGTAAAGTGATTTTTTTTCAGTTTTTTTATTGTTACATATATATTTCAAGTACATCACAGTACGAAAAGTTATAGTTTCTACTGAAATATGCACATAAAAATGTTAATTAATGATTATAAAAGGAAAGCCTCTCACTGTTGATCTGTTTCTGTAAATTTATGCATCACATATGATAATACGACACACCACATCTGTAAAGAAGAATGGCTTCCCAAGTGAATCAGTCAGCAAAAAAACCGAGAATGAACAGAAGAAAACCAAGAATTTCGCTCGGCAACTGATCAGATAAACAATCAGGATTACGTATGGATTCTGCTGGACTGACTGACAGTTTTCCGATTAGAACTACCAGTAGGTCAAAGCTTTGCATATTGTTTGCAAAACGTGTATGACTGGAGTCAGACTTTTACAGAAATGATGGCAATTTATGTCACTTTCCTCGTATATCTTAATTAAATTTATCAGACATGTACTTGTCCATAACAAATTCAGGTACAGAAAACCGGTGTTTATATACTGTGTCACTTCCTTTTTCTCCACTATCACACCAGTTTGTATATATAAATGAACTGCCTTGTTTTCAAAACTGTCATGTGATATTGTCAGCTCTAAATTTCAGAAGGGTTTCCTAAATAATTTGAGTGGTCAAACTGGACATTAGAAATTGACTGTAAACATCAGGATGGCATTGCAACATCACTGACAGTGTATCTACCTCAATGAAATGCTAGTATGACCTGAATCAGGTGCGCACTCACCAAGCTATGCTCCATTGTTTGCGTGGTACGCCTATGTGTATTGAGTTCCAATATAGAGAGTTAACAATGAAATTAAGACTGGTTAATCTTTTTACGTGACTTTAATTAATGTAGTGCCTATATTTATGGTTTTTCAAAAACTAACTGCACTCGTCCCAAGTGACGAGGCCCAGTTGAAGAACTGCTCGGCCTGGGCCGTTTTTCATCCATCCAAGACAGGTGGACGAATGCATTTTTCGCACTCTGATTCTTTAAGAAATAAGAGATCCCAGAGGGATCTTGGCACCCACCATGGTTTGATCTTAACTTGCTCTTTGAAAATTGGATCTTTTCTTATTTTTCTCTTCTCTGTTTTTGCTCTGTCAGCCATTTTTTTCAAGGAACCTATGCATGAAATTTGAGAAAGGTCTATATAGTACTTCTTAAGAAATAGCTATAACAAACTTTCAAAGTCAAAATCCAAGATGGCCACCTGTCTGCCAAATTTTAAGGAATCTATACATGAAATTTGATAAAGGTCTATATAGTAGTTTTTAAGAAATAGCGATAACAAAAATTGTTTATGAATGGACAGACAACAAATGGAGCCCACCATCTGATGTTGGTGGACTAATGAAAGGTATATCAGATATCAAAATCCAGATGAATTCATCAAGATATTTAAGATATAAAAATGTCTTGTGTAAGTTAAGAATAACAAAAAAACTTGCTAGAAAAATGTAGACAGAAACTTACATCGTCAAATTCACTGTCTTCGTCTCTTTTAACATATTCAACGACTTCATCTCTTTCCATGTAGCCGCCTCCAAAACCTACAAAGACATTGTTAAAGACAAGTTTCCAGTACAGTCAATTATAATCAAAATATTTCAACTGAAAAAAAAATAAGAACAAAGTATTCCAGGCACAAATTACAACTACATCAAACATAAACATTTTCATGTCCAGACATCAGTAATTCAAACAAAAAAGTATGTTTACGACATCAGAACATACATTGTTAATGATTTGTGTGAAATAATTTGTCAGTTACTTTTATTGAACCCAAATAAAACACATGTTATGTTGATAGCTTGCAATTTCACAGCAGTTTGAAATTTCAACACAAAAATGCAGTTGAACATTTGAATCCCCATCCAACTATACACAATATTCCACGAGGAGTCTAGTGCAATCTAAAATACATCTACCTGTTCTCTGCTCCTGTTTTCCATACTTTGGTGAATTGCATACATTGCAGGTCATTCTACGTGCCCAGTTCACATTGCCGCAACTAGAAAATATTTGTTTAAAGTTTCACATTAAAATCAACCTTAATTAGATGACACCATACTTCAGTTATCCCATTCTATCAATACTGAAGGTATCAATTATAAATACAATTTGGTATTTTTTGTATAATCTTCTCACTTCAATAGTTGTAGTAAGTTTTTACGGAGGTTGTTCACAAGAATTACTACATAGCTCACCTTTTACATTGCCAATCATCGGCACTAAATAGGCCTTTACTCTTCTCGGCTAAATTCTTTCCTATTTCCGTACCACCCTTCTTGAAAACAGTGCCATCCTTTCTTTCTGAAAAAACATGACCTACTTTTATTAGAAGTTTATTTCATTTTATTTTGATAAGGGTACTGACGGAGAGAACAATGTATGCCCATCCAATGCCGAAGAAATATTCAGGACTTGGTGTACTGAAAAGAATATTTTCAATGTCAAAATGTTAATACAATTGCTAACAAGGTAATTCAGTGCATCACAGTCCCCAAACAACATATTGCCTCACCAAGGTGAACCCATAGATATCCCAAGTATTAAGTTCCCACAATTTGTTGTGTTGAAGATAGACAGGACACAGAAAGCTTTTCTTTCATATAGATTAAAGGTAAAAATATAGGTCAGAGTAAACTACTGTCTCACCAAGTTCTCATGATTATAAATATAGTGCAGGAGATAGGGTCCAAATAAGTTTTTTTCTTTGATACAATTAAAAGATTAAAATGTAGGACGAACCTACTTTGATACAAGAAACACCATTTCATCCAGGTGAACCTATATCCCCAGTGTCAAGTACTTGTGACCAGCAGTGTAAAAGCTAGGGCCTGGACATTCTTTTCCTTTTGATGTAGGTCAGAGGTCAAAATTTAGGTCAGAGTGACTTACTTTTGATATGCCACACACTATTTCACCAAAGTGAATCCAAATCCCAGATAATATGTTCCTGTGATTGGCTGTGTAGAAGATATTGGGCCAGACAAGAGAGCAGAAGGATGGACAAAAGGACAGACAAAAAAGAATTCAAAATGATAGCCCTCTCCATTATCTGGTTTGGGAAAAATGTAAAAATGTCAAGTGTGGAAACAGTGCTATATGCTTTAATAATACATAAAAATATGCCAAGTTTTGAAAAGATTGGTGGAGAACTGAAAGAAATCTTTGGACAAGATTAAAATGCAGAACAGAATCAGGTACACAATAATGTACACAGCTTACTTCTCCACCAGAAGTAAGTTTTACTTTTTAAGGTCCTACTTAAATGATATCTTTTCATAATTCATTCAATTATGTCAGCAACTGGAAATTCAAATTCCTACCAGACATTCCTGGTTTTGCCAGCAATTTTCTCAAATTGAACTCGGAGACTTTTTCCACAACCCCCAAAGTCTCTTTCAAAAAGATGTTAGAACAATGAATGACTTTTTTCTTTACCTGAGCCACACCGATTACACTGACTTCTTCTGGAAAAGTTGACATTTCCACACCTGAAAAGAAGGCAATATCCATTTTAGTAAATTTCTATATAAACCTTATCCTATATGGATATTGCAAATCAGAGAAAATACAGATATATCTAAGACTCACAACATGGATCAGACAATAGACCACAAACATGTGGTAAGTCTAACAATTAATCATTACATGTTTCATATATCAGGTACTCAAAGGACCAGGATGCTGAACAAATGTCATGTACAAATGGATAAATCAACAGAAAGGGATAGACACAACATTTGTATAATAAAAACCCCTGAGGGATTATTACATGATGCCACCATCCAATGGTCTTTATTACTTCTATCATGTATGACAGTTGCATCTTTTTCCTTCTTTCCACCTGATTACCAAACTCAAATAAGCATGAGGAACCTACAAATTATGAAATCTCAGAATAACTAGTCCATCCAGGGCCATTCAAGAACTGATGATAATAAAATTAATTTTAAATGTCAAAATCCAAAAAGGCCTCTTGTTGGCTATTTCTTAATTTTCTTCTTAATCTGTCCTTGAAACCTGAATATGGTATGAAGTCCTAGAAAGCTCCATCACATGTGTATACTCACTAACAGCCTTGAGCTCAGAAAGATAGCATAAAAGAAACACAAGAGTTCCTCAGAACTGTATGTGTCGCCTGCATAAAGTGTCAAGGTCACCAAGAAATCGAACTGATGTCAAAACTAATCTGTACTTCCAAAAAGAAGCCATATACTAAATTTCATTTTGATAACTCAAAGGATAACCCAAAAAAGTCTGGAAAACAATATTCCATGAGAATTTTCTAAGTTCAAAGGGGCATTACTCTGCCAAGAATGGTCACAGACAGCTGGAAATCGAACTTAATCCAAAGAAATTTAGATAAGGACGGGTGTTAGCCGCATAATTCAATAAATTTGTTATTCTTGATAAAAATTTGAATCCAACCCTTTACAAAAGGTGCAAACAGATATCCGCCATTTTCATACTATGATTTCATTTAAATTATTTTCTGCATCGAAATGTCAGAATTTGATATAATATTGTTATATATGCTATCAATAACGCTAAACAGCTATAATGTCTACAAGCACAGCAGTGAGCCGAGCTGTAAAAACCAGTGTGTTTACCAACACACTAACGTCAAGCAGTGGCTGACCTGCCCCTGGGCATCTTGGTATGACAAGACAAGTCGATATTAGGACCAGTGGTCAAGGACAGTTTACAGACTACTGTCATAGTAATTACACCTATCATTTATTCATCCTGTGTCACTACTGTAACGTGCATAGAAAAGCGTGAGCAAGGAGACAAGGGGAAAATATTGGAAATCTCTGAAGTATTCCATTTAATGGCATTTTCGCCATCGTTCCACGGTAGAGTGTACCCACTCTACATAAGTGACCAAGGCGCGAACATCTCCATGCGATCCGATCGCGTAATGCCCTTGTGTTATCACAGGGTCCAGTAGGCTCGCGAGTTGACTGTGGGACATGTTTGAGGAAGTCGTAAGAGTTGGCTATCAATCATCCCCAGCGTGTCATTACTGAAAGAGATTTGTTTCGTTTTCAATATTTACTTTGCATCGGGACAAATCCAGTCTCCTTCGTTAGGTTTGAACCTCGCATTTGCACTACCTCCAGACATTGTGCGATCCTCTGCCGTCTTTCTTTCCCCTTCGTCTACTTCGTTGGCGAGCTTTTCATGCAAGGATTTTCATCCAATCAAACTAAAGAAATATAATTCACCGCGCAATAAGCCTGGTGCATGTTCGGTTCACGCCATTTGAGTCATTCTAGGTTTATCATAAGGAAACAACTACGCCCGACACTTCAGTTGTAATCCAACATGGCAGCTTCCATGCAAGCTTTGCGGCGAAGACGTCAGCCACAAGAAAACATCGATAAATCTAATTATGCATCAAGGCATTTGACTGAAGAAAGTTTTGCTTCGCCCTTTGGATATTATGAATCTTTCTTTGTTTGGTTATTGATATTCGGTTTATACTTGGGTGTGTTATTTACTATAGGTTCGAGGTTCCATCTGTTCCCTAAGCCCCGTACTGCAGACAACAGACCAGTTGGAGGAGTGTTTTATGAAAGTTTAGCACGCCGACACCTAGAAACTGTAACAAGTTTTGGACAACGACCAGCCGGTAGTGAAGCGAACGAATTACACGCCAAGAACTACATTGCCAAAGAATTGCTGACGTTTAAAGAACATTTGCACGAATCCAAGGAGATGTTGATAGATGTGCAGAATACGAGTGGATCTTTTCATTTGTACTTTATTCACACAGACTTTTATAGTGTGTACAAGAACCTGAAGAATGTTGTGGTGAAGCTAGGGCCAGCTTCAGGAGCTACACACAGTGTTTTGATGAACTGTCATTATGATACAATGATTGATGCCATAGGTAAGTAAACATGACCTACATTTTGACATCCACATAGCAATATGCTCGAGTATTGACACATATTTCGTTCATTTTTATAAGTGAAATGTATTTAATATATAAGGTTATCACAAGAGACTGGGTATGTTTTATTTCACTTACTTCAGGTGCAGGCGATGATATGTCAAGCTGTGCTGTCATGCTTGAGATTGCACGTTCACTATCCCAGTCCAACAAGCCACTGATGCATAACATTATATTCTTATTCAATGGCGCAGAGGAAAACCTTTTACAGGTACAAAAAATATGCAGTTGTATTGTTCATCTTCATATGTTTCATCACAATATGAAAGAGGTGTTGGAATTAAAGAAATTTATTTCGGAAAACTGTGATGATCATAATACATTTTAATGTCAAATTTTCTAGAAATAATTAATTCTTTGGATCATAATGCAGTCTATCATATAATGGTAGAATTTCCATATTGTACCATTTTCTTCTTTATCAATAAAAGTTGTCAGGTCATAAAATGATTACTTTCAGCATAACAGACTCTCTAGATTACTTAAGTTGAATCTTGATCATTGCTCAAAGTGATAAGATCAAACAGGTTTTTAGAATCAACAATATTGGGATGTTTCAGGATGTTTCACCTGATGCAACCTAGACTGCAGTAAGGATTGATATTTATTTGCTTTTCAGACTATACGAGTCATATAGTGTTGCCTTTAGCCATCATTAAGTCATTAGATCATTTCCACTCATGGATTCCTTAGTAGGTAGTGATATTGAGCTGTAATTTAGTATGCAGTTGCATAAGCATTTTGGTCAACAGAACGATAAAACAGAAATGCAATGAAATATTAAAGGAATTTAGGGAACGCGTCACAGAAATAGAGAAGTGTCTTGTCAGCAAATGTGACGAAAAAAGAGTATGCAAGATAGTGAAGGAGGAGATTGGTCAGGAGGATGTCCGGGTTACAAATACAATGGAAGGGAAGAAGGAAAGGACTCGTACACTTGATACTGTTATGTCCGAAATATCAGAATGGAAAAATAGAGAGAGAAATGTTGTTGTTTATGGTATTCCAGATCAAACAAGTACATCTGGCCCCACTTGTATAAAACATCTCAACTTGAGATTTCCTCAAGTTGAGATTTTCCTCTGCTGATATCTCCTCAAAAACGGCTTGTATAAAATTTTCTCAAGGAACAGGAGGAAGTCATCGGCTAGGATGTCCTGAAATTCCTTGAGGAATTTTCATACAAAATATTTTCAAGGAGATATTAGCTGAGAAAAATCTGGGCTTGAGGAAATCTGAAAATGCGATATTTTATACAAGTGGGGCCAGGTCAAGAGAGGAAGGAAATGGATTTAGAGAAAATACGGAAAATATTCTCAGCATGCAAATTGCAACTGGAGGAAACAGAAATCCTTCAAATTTCAAGACTAGGAAAGTACAAAAAAACCAAAAGTGCTGAAACATCAAAGAGACCCATGCTAGTCGTTTTTGAATCCGAGCAGATAAAGCAGGACCTATTCCGCAATTTTAGCAATCTACGGGACAAGCCAAAATTTAACGGCATCAGTATTAGTAATGATTTAACAGAGAATGAAAGAAGGGCAGAAAAGGCACTCAGAGATGAAGCCAAACGAAAAACAGAAAACTCATCGGGGGAATACATGTTCAGGGTTCACAAACCTCCATGGGTTCGCCAAATAGTCAAAATTGTAAGTGGAACTCAGGGCGGGGAAAGAGGAAGGAAGTCAAGTTGTCGTTAAAGTGTTTATACACCAACGCCGATCAGCTTAGGAACAAATTAGACGAACTTTTGATCAGAACAAATATTGAATGTCCACAGATAATTGGAATCACTGAAGTTAAAGCAAAAAATAGCAAATATATACTGTGTTCGAATCTGAATATAATATCATGAACAATTTTTCTATGTTTTCTGAAAATTTGGATTCTCCTACCGGAAGGGGCCTTATGTTATATATTAGTAACTATCTAACTTGTAAGCAGGTGACTTTTAACACTTCCTTTGAGGAATATCTCAGCGTAAGCATGACTTTAAATAGTACAGATGAGATGTTAGTATGTCTTGTGTATAGATCGAACAGCGGATCAAGTGAGAATAACGATCAGTTAGGAACCTTTTTACAAGGCATCTCTAAGGAACATTATTCGCATATTCTTATACTGGGAGATTTTAACTATCCGGAAATAAACTGGAAAACATGGAATGTAGATGTAAATAACACGGAATCACCAGATTACAAGTTTATAGAATGTATAAAGGATTCATTTCTATATCAGCATGTTACCACAGCAACTCGGTGTCGGGGTACAGATAAGTCTAATCTACTGGATCTTGTATTAATTAATGAGGAAAACATGGTTACAAATATAGATCATCAGAGTCCACCAGGAAAAGTGACCACTGTGTACTTGTCTTTCAATTCGAATGTTACTCCACAACAAAGAAACCATCACGACCTAAGAGAATGATAAGGCCAATTTCTCAAAAATTAACAAGGAAATAGGAGAATTTGATTGGAACAATCACTTTAAACCAAACGATGTAAATTACAGTTGGGAAATATTTTACAGCAAAATTATGGAGGTTGAGGAGAGATATGTACCATTGAAAATACCAAAACCAGCACATGCCAAACATGATTACCCAATCAACAGTGAAATAAAAGAAATCATCAGGAAGAAAGATTCTCTCAGGAAGAAAGCAATAAACGGTGGCGAGTATGCTAGGAAAGAATACAGCAGAATAAGAAACAAAGTAAGGAAAACCACGAGGAAATTCAGAAAAAAATTAGAAGACAAATTGTCATCAGAGGCTAAACAAAATCCAAAGGCTATTTGGAGATATATCAGATCGAAGTCGAAAACTAAAGCTGAAATTGGAGACTTGTATACAGAACCTGGTAATAAACAATCACGTAAAGAACAAAATGATAAGGTTAAGGCAAATATATTAATTTCTTGTTTTAAAAGTGTGTTTGTTACAGAACTGGCCGCAGAAATGGAAATCCCTACTCTTCCTTCTAAAAAAACATGTTACCCAATGTATTCAATGATAGTAGACCTGGACTCCATTTTTAAGGAACTTCTAAAGTTAGAAGTCGACAAATCTCCAGGAATAGATAGGTTACATCAACTGTTTCTTAAGAAAACTGAAGAAGAAATCGCGGCGCCATTAGCAATTTTGTTCTCGATCTCCTAGAGGACCGGCATAGTTCCAAATGAGTGGAAAAGGGCACAAATAACAGCAATCTTTAAGAAGGGGGACAAATGCAAACCAGGGAATTACAGACCTGTGAGCTTAACTTCAGTTGTGTGCAAAGGACTTGAATCTTTAATAAGAAGTCATATCACTGATTATATGAAACAAAACTATTTTTTCTCAAAGAAACAGTTCTGATTCATGTCTGGCAGGTCTACATCACTGCAACTACTGAAAGTTTTGGATGAGTGGACTGATCTTGTGGATAATGGACACTCAATCGATTGTATCTATGGTAGCAGGAAACAGTTAAAAGTGTGCATTACTAAATCATTTCCGTAATACCAGTAACCTGGAGGTGTTGGAGAGATATATAGAAACTAAAAAGCAATATCGTGCAATGTGTCAAAATAAGCGGAGTGAGTACAAGTCAGCAGTAGAAAAAGACCTTATTTCAGCTGCCTCGGCGAAAAATTCCCTTTCTTTCTGGACCAAAGTGAAGTCGGTCCTCAAACGAGGAGTTTTTGTAACTAATAATATAAGCCCTGGTGACTGGTTGAGTCATTTTAAAGAGTTACTGAACCCTACTACATCATCAGGAATTACTGAGTTTAATGTGGAAGTGTCAAACTTTGTGCAAGACCATCACCACCAGTGTGATAAATGTGAACTACCTCATGTGAATTCTTTATTGAATGATGACATAACTGAAACAGAAGTGAAGGAGGCAATCCATAGCCTCAAAAACAACAAATCACCAGGGGAAGACGCCATTCCTGGAGAATTTTTCAAAAGAACATTACATCTAGGTATGTCGCGGGTTCTACAAAAACTGTTCAACCCAATACTACAGACTGGCCAGTTTCCGAAAAACTGGCACACCGGTATTATTGTCCCGCTCCATAAAAAGGGGGATATAAATAACGCTGGGAATTACAGAGGGATTTCCTTGCTATCAGTGATGAGCAAGATATTTACGAAAATATTATGTACTCGGTTGACTAAATGGGCTGATTCCAACAATGAACTCCCTGAGGAACAGACTGGCTTCCGTAAAGGATACTCGACCGTGGACCAGATATTCAATCTCCAAGTACTCGTACAGAAGTATTTATCCAAAAAAGGAAATGTTTTCTATTGTGGTTTTGTAGACTTTGCTAAAGCGTTTGACTGTGTAAATCATGAAAAACTCTTCTACACTTTGGTAAAGCAAAACCTTCATGGCCGCATTATTAAAGTACTACAGGACATATACACGAATGTTAAAGCGGAAGTGAAAGCTGGTGATGGTCTATCCGATTCGTTTCACTGCAAATCTGGTGTGAGGCAAGGGTGTATCCTCAGCCCGTTTCTTTTTGCTATGTACATTAACGAATTATCTACGATGCTAAATGATGGAAGTGATTACATGTACCAGACGGGCATATACATCTCGGATGTGTTCAGGAACATTACTCATCTGTTATTCGCGGATGATCTTGTACTTCTTAGTGATTCAGTAGCTGGTCTCCAGAGAAAGTTCAATATACTATCGAAGTACTGTAAGAAATGGAACATGAAAGTGAATCTAGACAAAACAAAGGTTTGTTGTATTTAAAAATGGTGGGCATCTCTCATCACGTGAAAAATGGTCCTACGACGGAAATACTGTGTCAACTGTGAACTGTTATAAATACCTTGGCCTAATATTCTCATGTCGGCTTAAATGGGGGAAGGCATGTAAAATGCTTGCCCAACAAGCATCCAAAGCACTCAACATGGTTAAGAGTTGTCTCGTAAAACTGGGTAGAAGGGACCCAGTTGTGGCCTTTAAACTTTGATGCAATGATCGCCCCCATACTCTTCTACGGTGCCGAGTTATGGGGTACACATTACCAAAAATCCAATTGGTGCACACATGTAAGGGAACTATTATTTCACAACGGTTTTGGAGTGGTATGGATAAATCAGGGTGTTGGTGATATAACCATGTTCATGAATTTGTTCAAACAACGAGTGCGTGACATTAACATGCAGAAATGGACGGAATACATTAGTAATTCACCGAAATGTGAACTTTACTCAAGAATAAAACAGTACCCTATCGCAGAACCTTTTCTGAACAAGTTATCGTTTACTCTAAAGTTTGCTCTACTAAGTATTCGCTGTTCTACGCATAGACTAGAAATAGAAATTGGCAGAAAGCTTTCCATTCCATGGGAAGAAAGAATATGTAAAATATGTAACCTAAACGAGATTGAGGATGAACTTCATTTTATGTTAAAATGTCCAGTTCTAAGAGACATCAGAGTGAACTTTCTCCCACGATGGTGTATTAATAACCCAACCCTTGACAATTTAGTCAAACTTCTCATGTCAGAGGATATTGGCTTAATGAGGAATGTTGCAATTTTTATTAAAAAAGCAAATGATGTAAGGTCAGAAATACTGCAGTTTACTTAAAAGTTATTACAAACTGGTACTATTTCAATTGTACAATTATTACTAGAAAGTGAAATTGTTGGATCAATCAGGAGGAAAGTTGAACTGTTTACAGTATAAATTATCTACTTGACTTGTGTTAGAAGGCATAGAAATTTATGTAGGTACTATGTATCAACGGTTAAACTAGTAATCAGCTTGTGTATAATATACAGAAGAGATACTGTTGTACTGATTTTAATAACAGAGAAATGGATTTACCTACCTGGTACCTATATACTGTGTAGTAGGTGAAAATCATGATCATAAATCTATTAAACTGTGGACTATATGACCACTATGACTTAACTAGTTGCACTATTGACCAGTTTAGTTGTCATCGACTGAAATAACTTGATTACTACCATAGCTTATATACTTGTTCATGATCGATTTACTTATGTCACTATATATACATAGCTTGTTACCGTTGGAAATTATGCCATCTTGGGAAACACATGTTTATCCTACTCTGTATATATGAAATATATGCTATGATATGATGTCAAATATTGTAATATTGAATGGTACTGTGGGCTGGAGGCCAATTTGTACAATAAAAAAAAAAAAACCAAAACCAAACCAAACCAAACAGTTAATTTGAATTTTTCCTGAAATTATTTGTCATGTTTGAGATATACAGGTATAGCAGATTGGTTATGAAAAATACATCATTACATGTATATATATTTATAAACTACATAACAATTACATTAACAGTAGAGAGATGAAATTTGTGTAAAACAAAATTTCCTCTGATTTCTGACATTTGATTGTCATGGTTACCTACTGAAAAAATGCTAAAAATGCAAATATACTGCTAATTCCAACCTAACACTACAACTTTCTAGAAGAAATTTAATTCTAAACACCTATCTTACAATCAACAACACTGTCATGGTTACAAAGTACTTACATTTCAGCAAATTCCAACTCGGAAATTCTTCATAACATGACCACATGTAAACACTATGAACATTTCACTTCCTGTAAAGCTAGTTTTTGGTGCGTAGACACAGATTCGAGACTGCCCAAATAGTAATCCCCAAAACAAAGCTAAAATATTATCCTGGAAAAAATGAAACCCCACATGACAGGACCAATTTTAGCAAGGATTTTTTTTTCATTTTTAATTAAAACGTTTATAATGGGGTAATCTAATGAGCAAAAAATCACCCATGGACACACCATGAAACTGTGTACTGCTACCTATATGGATTTTCAAAAAGCATTTGATACAGTGCCACACAAAAGACTTTTAGGTAAAATGGAGTCATATGGAATAAGCGAGGAGATCGTAAAATGGACGACGAGTTTCATTTCAAACAGGAAGCAAAGAGTCTCGTTAAAGGATCAATACTCTGACTGGAGCGAGGTGTCTTCGGGAGTTCCCCAGGGATCTGTTCTTGGACCTACACTGTTCATCATATTTATTAATGACTTGCCGGAAACAATACAATCTGAAGCATATCTTTTCGCAGACGACACTCAATTGTTCAGAAGCATAAAAGAAAATACCGATGTGAATATACTTCAAGATGATCTGGATAACTTACCATTATTGTACAAAACAATAGTTAGGGTTCATCTGGAACATTCTATTACTGTATGGCATCCATATAAAGTCAAACAATAGATATGATCGAGGCAGTGCAACGGAGAGCAACAAAACAATTATCAGGATTTAAGGAACTGACTTATTTGGAAAGACTGAAATGCCTAAAATGATTAACATTGGCATTCAAGAGGATTCATGGGGATATGATTGAAGTCTTCAAAATTACGAACAATTTTTGTGATAGTAACGCTGCTGGTTTCCTTAAATTGTGGATCGACAAAGTTCAAATTCAGGAAACATTCTTTTGCTTTGCGTGTGGTCAAAACGTGGAACAATCTTCTGGAGTAAATTGTATCTGCAACAACAGTAAACTCTTTCAAAAATAGATTAGATGAACACTGGGCAAATCAAGAACTGGTATATAATTATAAAGCAGAAATTCTGTAGTTCCTGGATCTGACGTCTCAAATGACAATAACTATAAACATTATCATTGTATCACTGAGACCGGTATAGAGGATCGTAACGATCCTGCACTGGTAATAAACTAAACTAAACTAAATAATGATGGCTGCTTTCCAAGTTCTGGCCATTTCACCAAGAAGTTCAATAAATTCTCACCAATTGCATTTGTAGATTTCCCATGGTCCCTAGTTGTGCCTATTTGATTTTGGAACTGATAAAAAAAACTAGATTGCAGACAGCGTGGATTTTTTCAGTGAAATTTGATATCGCTATTTCTTGAAAAGTAAGATATGGATCTCTCTCAAATTTCATATGTGGGTTCCCTTTGGTCTCATGTTTTGCCCATCTTATTTTGGGATTGATTAGAAAAACAAAATGACTGACAGACGACCATCTTTGATTTTGACTTTGCAAGGTTGTATTGCTATTTCTTGAGAAATAACTGTTTAGATCGTTCTCAAATTTCATTTTTGGTTCCTTTTGGTCCCTTGTTGTGTCCATCAAATTTTGGGACTGATCAGAAAAAAAAATGGCTCACAAGCAACCATCTTGGATTTTGACTTGACTTTGGAATTTTTGAGGACTGCTCTATAGATCTTTCTCAAACTTTATGTATATGTTCTTATATGCTCCTTGTTGTGCCTGTTTGAGTTTGGGACTGACCAGAAAAACAAAATGGCCAACAGGCAGCCATATTGGATTTTGCCTAGTAAAGATTGTTATTGCTATTTCATAAGAAGTACTGAATGGATATCTCTTCACATGTATGTTCCCATTGGTCTCTCCTTGTGTTCGTGTGATTTTGGGACTGACCAGAATAAACAAAATGACTTCCGGGTGGCCATTTTGGAATTTGGCAGGATTATCATCGCTGTTTCTGCAAAGTAATGTTCAAATGGTTTATCATTAAGAGCAAAAACATGAAAAAAGAAAGGAAAAGATCCAACTTTCAAAGAGCATATAAAGATAAAACAATGGTAGGTGCCAAGATCCTTCTGGGATTCTTTGCTAGAGATTCTGCAATTCACAATCAGATTTAAAATTTTTAGTCCAACATCATTAAATGGTGGGCTATTCAAATCACCCTATGTCCATCATCCTTCCGGATGATACTGATCAGGAAAACAAAGTGGCTAAGAGGTGGCCTTCTGGAATTTAGCAAACTTGTTGTTAGGATTCCCTTGGTCCCAAATTGCGCCCATTCAATTTTGTGTCTGCTCAAGAAAACAAAATGACTGACCAAAGACAATTTTCTGATAGTTGAAGTTTGTTGTCGCTTTTACATAGAAAGATCTTGTTACAATAAATAGAATTCCCTTGTTATCAAATAATTACAAAGAAAAAGGGAAAGAAGGGAAAAGTAGATAAAAGAGGAGGTGATCCAAAGCTGACTGTGTAAGCACCTGTTTCGGAGTGCTATATAGTTGTCCAGGTTCCAAGAATGACTGATTAAGAGAGCCAATCTAATTATACGAATATTTGATTGATTAAGAGAGCCAAGCTAATTATACGTATATTTGATTGGGAGGCTATCTTGCATGGTACCCAGATGTTTGTACAGAGTTAAATGTAAGTCAGGCTGTTGCCATATACATAGTTTATCATGATACATATCAAAGTTTCTCAAATTAAAAGGAAGACAGGCTGTACTTCAGGAGATACATTTCTTATTAAATGCTTGATATCTTCTACGAAGCTCCAGATTGAAAAGATGAAAACAAGAAAATTTATTCAGCTTTGTTTCAGGTTCCTTATATTTTATACCAACAAAGTTTTATTGTGACAGGGTAGCCATGGATTTATAACACAACACCCATGGGCCAAGAGTATCAAAGCTTTTATTAACTTGGACTCAGCTGGAGCTGGTGGATGGGAAATAGTCTTCCAAACAGGCAAGTATCTCTTATCAATGCTTGATATATATGTCTTTTTGACAGTCAAAAATGCATGTGTAGATTTGTTAGGCAATTATTCTGATTGTAAGGTTCCTTACAAGTGTGGTTTACAACTAACAGTAGTGTACTAGAACGATTTCACAGAAACCAAGTTTTCATGAATCTCCCTTTACTCAAGTTTGTCCATTGGAAAGCATTATGTGGAAAACATAAATGCAACATTGCATAGTGTTCTCATCATTAATCAGGTGACTGACAAAACCTGTCTGCATGTATTAAAAGTATTCTACCTACTCATCTTGTGAAGTTGGTTGAGAACACTCCTACCTACAAATGTATGGTGTTTTATTATTACTATTGAGTGACTCCCTGTGCACCAATTGGTATCCATTCTCCAATTATCATACTACCCGATACCTTGGGATCCTACCTATATAAGGACTGTCATTGACTTTCCCCTTGCCCCTTTTAAATTTAGCAATCAGATGATGTTAAAGGATGGAAATTAAGAGACATTGGTTCATTCTGATTCTGGATAAGAGAATGTTTTCTTCTCATTGCTTAATTGCAAATATATTGTCAGAAAGTTCTCCATGCGTAACAGTATTGTTTTAAACATCACTCTTGAAAACTGATAGGTTTGCTGACTTTTGATTGGTGGAATCGAATGATGTATTTCTAGGTAAACTATATGTGGAGGTAATTATAATGCTGTGTGAAGTATGTTGCAGTATTTGTAGCTAGATTTATTTCCTGTAGAAATGCAAGGGTTATGGGACAATATACACTCTATATACACCCAAAATAACTGCATTTGCCCCATGCTTACAAATATATCCACATAAATAGACAAATGATTTTTTAAATTTTCATAGATACCTGGTGAATCTTTCAAATTTATCATAAACGCTGCCAAAAATTTGATTTGTACATAGACATGTGAACTTTCATTTTTAGCTAACCTTGCCTAAAAGGCCAAGTGAGCTTGTGCCATAGCGCGTCGTCTGTCCGTCATGCGTCACTCAACTTTTCATTTAAACGACTTCTTCTGAAATACCGAAAGGCGTAGAGTTTTCATATTTTGCTGGAAGGTTCCTTTGATGAAGTTCAACAAAGTTTGCAGAAAGAAATGACCTTGACCAATCTTAAAGGTCACATTGGTCAAATGTGTTAAAACCTTTAAACAACTTCTCACCAAATACTGGAATTCCTAGAATCATTATATTAGGCTACTATGTTCCTCTTATGGAGTCCTACAAAGTGTGCTAAAAGAAATGACCTTGACCAATCTTCAAGGTCACAGGGGTCAAATGTGTTAAAACGTTTAAACAATTTCTTCTGAAATATCGAAAAGCCTAGAATCATTATATTTGGCCAGTATGTTCCTATTATGAAGTCCAAGAAAGTTTGCAAAAAGAAATGACCTTGACCCATAGTCAAGGTTACAGGGGTCAAATGTGTTAAACCTTTAAATGACATTTTCTGATTATCAAAAATGTCTAGGATAGTGATATTATTCTGAAATAGGTTCTCAATGATGCCCAAATAGTGTGTGAAAAAAAGCTTGACCCATAATGATATTTAAGGTCATTGGGGTTAAATTTTGTAAAATCATTAACAACTTCTGATTGCTCAAAGGCTATCATATTTGGCCAGTAAAAGTTTGTAGAACCTTCCAATGATTTATTAAAGGAATATATTTGGCTGGGAATTTTCTTGGCATAATTTGGAATAAATTATAAAGACCTTTCACAGTGATGTCACACTGTTCCAAAAATAGATTAGGCCAAGCTACCTGGAGGTCTGAGAAGCTTGAGTTAAGTAATATGAAAAACTACATGTTGGCCAATTACTTATGTTCTATCCACAGCTATAAAATACAGAAAACATGATTAGAAAGAGAATTGCAAGATCTTCATTTTGATTTTTTAAGATTCTTCATAATTATAGCAGAAATAAATAAGAAATTCTGAGTTGATCACATTTGCTATGCAGTGTTTATAGGCCTACAGTAAACTGTTATCAGTATATCTCCAGTAACCTGTGCTTAACTGACCATGGTGACATCACTAATGATATACATGGAACATTTTATTATTGGTTTGGAGTTAGGATTATGGTTTATAATTACATGTACCTTAATTTTTCCTGTCTTTATATTTAAATGTTGCTATATACTGATGGCTTGTGCAAGTCTCAAATATGTTGTATCTGTGTTTGTAAACAATGATCTAAAGGGCAAGTAAGCTTCTGCTGTCCTGGGTCATCCGTCCAGCTATAACTAAGAGTTTTTCTGCTATATTGTTTGACCATCTTCTTTCCTTGATTTAAAAGAAAGCTATCAATTATATTTAACTGGAAACATCATGAGAAAGTCTCAATTCAAAATTGCACAGATGAGGGGGCTGACTACTAAGGGACAGAAGCCATATGGAGTAATTTGTCCTATTGCTTTAAGTATCTACTGTGGAACATATGCACAGATATAGTACTGTCAGAAAGAACCAGGTGAGCAATACTGGCCCTCTGGGCCTCTTGTTTATTAGTATCTATTACAGCTACATGCTACCTTTATCAAACATGATAACCAACAATTCTACACAATCCATAATCCTGATTCCTACCTCTACACACAATATTCAATTCTGATTCCTACCTCTACACACAATATACAATCCTGATTCCTTCCCCTACACACAATATACAATCCTGATTCCTACCCCTACACACAATATACAATCCTGATTCCTACCCCTACACACAATATACAATCCTGATTCCTTCCCCTACACACAATATACAATCCTGATTCCTACCACTACACACAATATACAATCCTGATTCCTACCACTACACACAATATACAATCCTGATTCCTACCCCTACACACAATATACAATCCTGATTCCTACCCCTACACACAATATACAATCCTGATTCCTACCACTACACACAATATACAATCCTGATTCCTACCTCTACACACAATATACAATCCTGATTCCTACCCCTACACACAATATACAATCCTGATTCCTACCCCTACACACAATATACAATCCTGATTCCTTCCCCTACACACAATATACAATCCTGATTCCTACCCCTACACACACTATACAATCCTGATTCCTACCCCTATACACAATATACAATCCTGATTCCTACCACTACACACAATATACAATCCTGATTCCTACCTCTACACACAATATACAATCCTGATTCCTACCCCTACACACAATATACAATCCTGATTCCTACCCCTACACACAATATACAATCCTGATTCCTACCCCTTACACACAATATACAATCCTGATTCCTACCACTACACACAATATACAATCCTGATTCCTACCTCTACACACAATATACAATCCTGATTCCTACCCCTACACACAATATACAATCCTGATTCCTACCCCTACACACAATATACAATCCTGATTCCTACCTTTACACACAATATACAATACTGATTCCTTCCCCTACACGCAATATACAATCCTGATTCCTACCTTTACACACAATATACAATCCTGATTCCTACCTCTACACACAATATACAATCCTGATTCCTACCCCTACACACAATATACAATCCTGATTCCTACCCCTACACACAATATACAATCCTGATTCCTACCTCTACACACAATATACAATCCTGATTGATACCCCTACACACAATAAACAATCCTGATTCCTTCCCCTACACACAATATACAATCCTGATTCCTACCCCTACACACAATATACAATCCTGATTCAATATACAATCCTGATTCCTACCAACACACAATATACAATCCTGATTCCTACCCCTACACACAATATACAATCTACACACAATATACAATCCTTCCTTCCCCTACACACAATATACAATCCTGATTCCTACCTCTACATACAATATACAATCCTGATTCCTACCCCTACACACAATATACAATCCTGATTCCTACCCCTACACACAATATACAATCCTGATTCCTACCCCTACACACAATATACAATCCTGATTCCTACCTCTACACACAATATACAATCCTGATTCCTACCCCTACACACAATATACAATCCTGATTCCTACCCCTACACACAATATACAATCCTGATTCCTACCCCTACACACAATATACAATCCTGATTCCTACCTCTACACACAATATACAATCCTGATTCCTACCCCTACACACAATATACAATCCTGATTCCTACCCCTACACACAATATACAATCCTGATTCCTACCCCTACACACAATATACAATCCTGAGTCCTACCTCTACACACAATATACAATCCTGATTCCTACCCCTACACACAATATACAATCCTGATTCCTTCCCCTACACACAATATACAATCCTGATTCCTACCCCTACACACAATATACAATCCTGATTCCTACACCTACACACAATATACAATCCTGATTGATACCCCTACACACAATAAACAATCCTGATTCCTACCCCTACACACAATATACAATCCTGATTCCTACACCTACACACAATATACAATCCTGATTCCTACCACTACACACAATATACAATCCTGATTCCTACCCCTACACACAATATACAATCCTGATTCCTACCTCTACACACAATATACAATCCTGATTGATACCCCTACACACAATATACAATCCTGATTCCTACCCCTATACACAATATACAATCCTGATTCCTACCCCTATACACAATATACAATCCTGATTCCTACACCTACACACAATATACAATCCTGATTCCTACCACTACACACAATATACAATCCTGATTCCTACCCCTACACACAATATACAATCCTGATTCCTACCACTACACACAATATACAATCCTGATTCCTACCCCTAACACACAAAATACAATCATGATTCCTCCTGATTCCTACCCCTACACACAATATACAATCCTGATTCCTACCCCTACACACAATATACAATCCTGATTCCTACACCTACACACAATATACAATCCTGAT